GAATTATTTTAAAAGAATCTAAGTGTAATGGAAATTGATTAATTTCATTAATGTGTGTGGGAAAACACTAAAATAAGAGTGATAAAATCTAAACTGCATGAATGTGCTTGTCTGTTAAGTCGTGTACGTTCCTATTTAATACCGCAGCTGCACTTGCCACAGTGACTTAACTAGAAAGTATATAAATGAGTAAATTATATGCTAAATATTTTAATTTATATATCTTCCTTCTCGGTTTTTTTAGTTTCTTCTTTTCTTTGTACATAAACCGTCAAATCATCCGCGAAAGTTGGGCGCATTATGCTCTTCCCGCGCTCCGGAGAAGCTGCTGAGTGAGGCAGGCCTGATTTTTTCGATACCCATGTTCATGATGCATTCAGATTTGCTCTCATTTTTGCCGGCTCTTTGAAGCAAAATTCAAATGCACTTTTTGTCAGATAGCATAGTTTTTTTTTTTTTGTTACTTGAAAAGTCTTGACTATCAATTATGAAATGCAAACTACAATGGGAGAGGTTATCGAGGGTGTCTAAATGGTACTTGGATCTGCCAGCCGGCTTTACAATTGAAATATTAGAAAGAGTTAGATCGAATTACAGCTTGTTTCTGTTATCCTTCCCAGCTAACTGCTGTTGCTCATATATCCGTGCTGCTCTGCATTGGGCTTCGCTTAGCTGTAAGTCCAAACAGCGAGCTATAAAACAGCGCTGTTTTCCTAGTGCAGGCGAGAATTGTGCGCTCGGTTGATCCGATTTTTGCTTTTTCTGCGTCAAAGGTGCGATGCAGCAGTTCAGCACTTTCCTAGGGATTTGGCATTCGTTTTCTACCTGAATTTCACTCAAAACTCTCTCTATGTTTACAGCTAAGGGATGAAATACAAATTGCCTTCAGATTTGTCTTTTTACAAATAACACTTAGTACTAGAGTCCCTCATCTTCTATCCTGCTATTTCAGTCTTCCGACAGTATATATTTCTGGGAAAAACATTTCGTCTATGGCTGTCGTGTGGTACATCAGTTCAGCGGAGGAGGATTGGTTCTGAAATCGCGATATGAATGTATTTTTCAACTCGTGATATGCGCGAATGTCTTGCATGCACTTTTCTGTATGCTTATTTTCAGGTTATTTTCCGGTACGCAGAACAACTGGCGAACGAATCGACACTGGGCGTGTGTGCGTGTGCGTGTGTGTACGTGTGTCTCTTGCAATGAACATGCAATGGAGGATAGAAGGAACAGTGCTCAAAATTATGGAAAATGATTAATAATTCTAGTAATAAAGCGATCCAATTTTGAATCATTTGAATTTTTCTTGTGTACTTTTCCATCCGCTGTTCGGGGCTGCTGAAGGCGTGTGTCGCAAGAGTGTGGACAGTAACAGCAAAAGTGTTCTGTGTAAATCGTGCAAATGTTCCCGCCGCACAGACCGGCTTTGGCGAGTACCAGTAATCCGGCACAGATTCCGAGCACTAGTGCTCCTGCTAGCAGCACAGCCAGTGTTGCCGGTATTCCGCTGAGGACTCCGGAGTTGTCGCCGCGAATTCGCAAGGATGCTACCACGGTACGTTACGGTTGCCATCTGTTTGACAATATCAGTTTTCATGCTCGGTCTGTTATTTGCTGTGATTTTCAACTCAGACGACGAAATGCGTTTGTAGCGTTCTGGCGCAAGCTGCGAACAGCGAAAAACCCAGATCCCAGGAATGCAGAATGGTGGCTTGCTGATAATCTGGAATAGTCTGAGACGGTAGCCAAATTCTTCACACCTTGTTTCCCCAATCTCCTTTCGCGGTCTTCTGAATTTGATTTTTATCAAAACTGGCACGTTTGAGCTAATTTAGTGCTTTTGCAGCGAATATACCCCGTTTCTTGTCAGCATATCATTATTGCGAACTGAGC